TGAGAAACATCGATCAGCCACCTTCTGCATGCCCCACCACTGACAATTGATCCTGCAACCCTCACATGTGCCCTGACTGGGAATCAAACTGGGGATCTCTTGGTACATAGGTTGATTCTCAAACACTGAGACATCGGCCAGGGACCATTAACATTTTAATTCAATTTAGTCTGACTAATACCAACTTAATTTTAATAATATGCAAAAGTTGGCTTCTATACAGCTCCTTTCTCCCCCTACTTTTATGTGTTATTACAAAATAATTACATCTTTGTACATTTTGTGCCCATCAACCTATATTTATAATTATTTATTTAATAAAGATTTAAGTCTGAAGGAAGAAAAAAGTAGTTACAAAAAAATAAACATTTACACTGTCGTTTATATTTACCTACATATTTATTTCTTCACGTAGATTCGAGTTACTGTTTAGTGCTCTTTTGTTTCACCCTGGAAGATTCCCTTTAATATTTCTTATAGGGCAGGATCGCTAGCAACAAAATTTTCTGGGTTGTATTTGGGAGTGTCTTTATTTTTTTATTCATTTTTTTTATTGATAGTTTACCTAGATATAGAATTCTTGGTTGACAGCCCACCCCCCTCCTTTCAGAACTTTGGATATGTCATCCCATTATCTTTTTCCACCAAAGTTTCTAGTAAGACATCAGCGTACCTTATTGAGTATCCCTTTTATATAAGTTACTTCTCCCTTGTTCTTTAAAAATTCTTTGTTTTTGACTTTAAAAAAAATATATATATCTATATATATATCTATATATATATATAAAAATTGATTTCAGAGAGGGAGAGGGAGGGAAGGAGGAGAGGGAGGGAGAGGGGGAGAGAGAGAGAGAGAGAGAGAGAGAGAGAGAGAGAGAGAGAGAGAGAGAAAAACATTGATGAGAGAGAATCACTGATTGGCTGTCTCCTGCATGCCCCACACTAGGGATTGAGCCTGTAACCTGGGCATATGGACTGACCAGAAATCAAACCAAACCGTGACCTCCTGGACTATAGGTCAGCGCTCAACCAGTGAGCCATGCTGGGCAGGCCTGTCTTTGACTTTTGACAGTTTATGATTTATGGGTCTCTAGTTTATTCAACGTAGAGTTTGCTAACCTTCATGGATATATAGATTGAGGGTTTCTAAAACAAATTTGGGGAGTTTTCAGCAATCATATCTTCAACTGTTCTTATTATTTTTATGAAGGAAATAGCTTTCAGAGGTCCTTAGTCCCCCATTTTCTCTGATGTTACCCCCAAATTACTTTTTAAACAAGTTTACATGTTTGGATTCAATCTAAAGTTTTTCCCCTTTTAGCAGAAATCTCAGTTTTCTGTTTTCAGCCTCAGAGGGGTATGTGGAGTCTGCTAACAGAGGGAGCGAGAGAGGAACATCGATTGGTTGCCTTTCGTATGACCACAACCCAACTGGGAATTGAACTGGAAACCTTTCAGTGCACAGGGCGATGCTCAATGAACTGAGCCACTCCAGCCAGGCTCATTCTCATCTTAACATGTATAAAATAAGTCTTTGCAAGCAGATATGTTAATACCCAAAGCTTTTTTATTAAGGGAAAATATATGGAATAGAATGTCTTACTTTCAGTATGTTCATAGTGCTAAAAATAGACACTGCCCCTAACTCTCTGGACTCTACTCTGCCCCAAAGAAATCTCCACTTATCAAATTAAGCAACAGAGAATCAGAATTAGGACTGTTTACGGAAACAGGAATTTGGAAGCTAGATGGAAAGATAACAAAGTCACATAAATTCATGCAGCAACAGATAACCAAAGCATATAAAGTGTATTTCAAGTTCTGGTGTGCAGTTCAGCCCTCCCATTGTATCTCTCTTCCTCTGGCCCCAAGAACCCAAAGGTGAGAAGAGCAATCTAGGAGACAGGCTTCAACTCTGGCCTGAGGGACCTGGGGCCAAAGAAGCTGTGTGGTTCCCCATTTTTTTGTCTGTAGGTGCTTTCAGAGGCACCTTCCAGCTTTCAAGTTCTAATTCTGAGGGAGACTGGAAAAATACCAAAACGGTAAGTGTTGTGCCAGGATGGAGGGACTGTGTGTGTACATTTTGGATTTTTATTTCATATCTAAATTTGTTTAATGGTATTTTAGTAAGTAAACGTAAATTTGTAAGTTTTTTAAATGCAAGAATTCGAGACCAAAAAATGTTGAGATCTCTTCAGAAATGTTACTTTGGCACCATCTGCTGGGGAGCTTTTAAAATCTTCCCTGTACATAAATTTATTACCTTCCCAAAAATGATTTAAAGTAAACACTGTCCATCATTTACACCTGACCTGAGTATCCCAGCAGCCTTTGTTAGTAGGAATCTATGTGTAAATTCAGCATCACTTAAGGGGCACAGAACTTGTCCTGGGTAACTTCATTCTAGCACGTGTACTAAGTTTCAGAATGTGTTTGGATTTTGTGTGGCACCTGTTCAGCTGAGTCTCAGCAGCACCTGACAACCACTGCTGCACTTTTCTTGACAACCTGGGCTGTCTTTGAAGGCCTGTGCACCAGGCACCCAAGACATATTTACGTACTTAACGTTCTAACAAGCAAACACTTGTTACATGAAACTTCCGGCCTCCCAGGACTTGGACCACTCTTCAAGGATGCTTCCCAACACCATTACAGCAGCTTGTACTTGCCAGGAGGGTGACCTTGGGCAAATAATTTAACCACTGTCTGTCTTCTCCTCTATAAACTAGCTGGCTGACCTGCTACATTGGTACTAGGAGACCACAATGGTTAACAAAGCCTGGCACTAAGCACCCCTAAGTTACTATCACTATTATTCCCACACACCCTGCTTTTCCTCTGGGAATACTAAGACTGGCAGAATTTCCAGGAAGAAAACTCTTTGCTCCATCTACTTAGGACAAGATAGATTTTATTTATTAATGGATTAAGCTGTGATCTGAGATCACACTTATTTCTAGAATTTCTGACATCAAATAGCCTCGTTATGGCACTATCACTTTTTACATAATTATTTCTGAGAAAATGGGGAAGACATAGGCTTTTAAGTGTCCCCTTGTCCACTGACCCAAAAATCATCTGTGGTGGAAGCCACTGGTTGTCCCCCAAATCCATCATCCATCCTTTCCTTTCATGGAGCGAGAATAGCAGACAGGCACACAGCTGTTGACATTCCCAGTCTCACTGGCAGTCTGGTGTGGCCATGTGACTAAGTTTTTGCCAATGGAACATGCTGAGAAGTGATGTGCACCACGTACAGGTTGAGCCCCACAAAACTTCCCAGGCTGCATGAACTGTCCCCTCCTGCAGGATGGATCAGATGACAGGCCCTGGAGATGGTGGCCCACAGACGGAAATAAACCTTGGGTCCCCGAGGCACTGTGGCTGGGGGGCTGAGGGAGAGGGATGCCCTGCACACCTCTCTACCCACCCTGGAACTGCTACACAGTCAAGAAACACTTTTCTGCCTTAACTACAGAAATGTTGTGATCAGGCTGTGACCACAGCCAAGCTGAACCTAAACACTAACCATGGTGCCATGAGGCCTTTCCACTCAGTCCTTCCTGTTCATCCGGACAACAGTCACATATGTGACTTTGTAATGTATTTCTACGATAAGTACTTTTCTGTATATTTTACATTCTTCATAATAATTTAATGGCTGCAGGCTATTCCATAAAGTAGCATTATTCCATAAATTGTAAGTCATTTTACACTCTCTAAATAATGCTATAATGTGCAGAAGCCTTATTCTATATTTGAATCGTTTTTAAAAACATCATCACCCTAGCTGGTTTGGCTCAGTTGGTCCATGGACTGAAGGGTCCCAGGTTCGATTCCAGTCAAAGGCACACGCCTGGGTCGCGGGCTCGATCCCCAATGGAGGATATGCAGGAGGCAGCCAATCAATGGGTGTCTCTCATCACTGATGTCTCTCTCTCTCTCTCTCCCTTTCCCTTCCTCTCCCTCTCTCTCTCTCTCTCTCTCTCTCTCTCTCTCTCTCTCTCTCTCTCTCTCTCCCTCTCTCCTTCACAGGTTATAAACACACTGTTGAACGTCTTTTCGCAAAGACTGAATCGATTACGTTACCATCTTAATATACTCACGTCTTTTCGCAAAGACTGAATCGATTACGTTACCATCTTAATATACTCACTTCATCAGACTTTGATTTTACAAATATATAATGGTATACACTTAGGTCGATTCTTAAAGATTTCCCCATCTTTTATTTTGCATTTCTTTGATCACTACTAAGGTTAAACACCTTTCCCTGTTTGCTGACTAGCTGTGTGGATGAAAGAGGGGCCACATACTAAACCTGACAAGCTCAGGGGAGGCCTGTGTGGCAGCCTTACAAACACAGAGACCTAAAGTAACCACAGGGATGGTCAGACATTAAAACTTTCTAACTAAAAGCCGCTCATGGCAGGGAGTCATGACAAAGGTCAATGTTTACCTTAACTGAGCCTGTCTGTTTTCTTTTTCTTTTTCTGAATCTATGATAAACATACCTGGTAATATACCTTCGGAATTTCCAAGTAATTTATTTTTTTCTGGAAGCACAACCACACCAGAGCAGAGACCACAAATCCCCTCACTGTATTATCATGTTAATTGTTAACTATCCTAAACCCACCGATGTAAAAGATGTGTCTATCATTTTACTTTTTATTCAACCTCAGAGATTTCCCTGCTTTGCTTCCTCCCGCCTCCCTAATCTATCACCAGTGGATTTCATGTAATACCCTTATGCCTCCTCCTTTGATTATAATGCCATTTTCCAGAGCATTTTCTCAATCCGTTGAGATTTTGCTTCCCAGCAACTGTCATCAGTTTGGCTCAAATAAACTCATACAAATCCTTACAGGTTTGGACGTTTCTTTCATTGACAGTTGTACCTCCTCTTTTAAAAATTTCATGTCCTGCCATCAATCAGAGTCTGTAGATTTATACAATCTAGCACTAATAGATATTATCAAGAACCAATCACCCAAAACTTCAGAAAGCAATTTATTAAAAGTCACAACAAATATTAAGGCACAAAATATATCCCTTTTTTTAAACAAAAATCTTTGAAATAGTTTTGTCCTACATTCAAAGCAACTTTTTCCAAATTATACAATAATTTAACCATTTAAAGTAGAAAAATATAACTTCTTAAGCCCCTAACCTTTCTCCCCAAATACATGTTTTCCTAGTTCTAAGGAAGCTTCTTAGTGTATAGTGAGCTCCTGTGTTATATGTACACTTCCTTAAAAGTCTCATTTGTCACTTATATACATTTGATGTGCTGAGGAGTTTTATTATCAGTATAAGGCCTGGTGTTTCGTACTGTTTATTGCATGCTGTTGATCATGCAAAGACACAAGTACCAAAACCAGTGACTTATAAACTAGCACATCTCAACTTTAGAACAGTCATGTGCAGCCTAGCACAGTAGATGCAAACCCCTTTTTAGAAAAGGATATAAAAATCACCTTGTATGTACATTTTTTTTACACTTCAGTCTCAATATTCTAGTAGTGCAAACATAATTTGCCATATTACAGGGGGCAAGTCGATATTCTCTACAGGACATGAAAGATTTAAAAAATTATTTTCTTCACAGGAAAAGTATGGAAACATTACCTCTCAGCCTTAAAAATTCACATACTCATCTATTTTTTCTTATTTTTGAAATAAATTAACTTATCTTTTAAAGCAGCTACCAATGAACTCAATCACAAAAATTCCCTTTTAAGTAATTTTACACAGCAGATACATCTAACATGGATCGCAAATGCTTTTCTAAGCATCTTGCCTAGAAAAACATAAAAGTGGACTCTGGCCCTCAGATCCCTTCATTAATAGGAAGACCCATCTTGACGGCATCCTAAGAAATTAGTCTGACTGGGATGGCGAGTTTCTGGAACCTTCATGCAGAAGCAGGATGACAGCTGCATGGTGGCCATGGGTGTCACTTCTCCCCAGGTCCTCGGTATGAACTACTCAGCCCTAGGGCGCCCCCTCCTGTTCACATGAGGGGGTTCAGAAGGCGCTCCACAGGAATCCTCTATTCAGAACACAAGGTATCAACCAAGGACACAATGATCACTGACAGCGACAGGCACAATGGATGCCTTTGAAAAGAGTATTTCTGACGGGCCATCAGGAGGGAACCTACTTCCTCTGGGTAATGAGGAGAGCCTGCATTTCAGCCTCAGGCTAAGCCACCCAGGGTCCAACATTTATTTTTCCAGCTACAGAGCACAGGGTTTTTATAAACACTATTGAGGTTACGTCAGAGGCAGTTTCCTGTCTCACACTGGCCATTGTTCCCACTCCCACCCCACTGGCTGGCCGCCCAGGATTCTGCATTCAGAATTCAGCTACAACCGTATGAGTTGGGAATGAACCTGACTCGAAATCTGGGCAGTGGCATTAGGCAAAATTTTAGGGACAAGAGGACAGTGGTCACCTCTGGGTCTCAAACAACTTGGGGTAAGGGTGAAATACACCCCCGGGAAGGACATGAATGCTGCAAAATGTACAGGTGGGTGCCCACGACTGTGGCAGACACTGAGAGAGGAATGGAACCCACACTGAAACCGGGCACTCTCCTGGGAAGGACGTCCCAAAGGGAGGGCACCTTGACCACCACATCCTGCTCAGCACAACACTGTGTGATATTCACTACTGAAAACAAAGTTGAAAGTATCTTTCAAGAGACATTACTAGTGGAAATGAATCTCTTTTACTAGCCCCTGTGAAATGGGTAAATGAGAAGTAAATTCCAAAGAAAAAAGTTTGTTTTGTGGCTTCACAATGAAATTAAAAAGAAAGATTAAATAAGTGTTTGTGCTGTAAAGCTTCTCAATCAAAATCTCTGGGATCATTCTTCACTCACAAGAAAGACATGCCTGATTCTAGCTTTAAGTCCTACTCTAAATGTCTACTAGCCCTGCAGCTTTGATCATGAAAGCAGCAAATATCCACACTTCCATCAGACAACTTCCAATTGCCTTTCAGATTTAGAATGTTCTGCATTAGAAAAATGAGAACAAAAATTTTCAAGTTACACATAATAAAATAACGAATAAAACATGGTTGAAGGTTAAGACATTAATTACAAGACTAACCGTGATGTACTGTACCGTGAAGTACTGTGCAAGATCACAGACAAGATAAGGTTCTAGTTTCCTCCAGGGACACCCAGCTGGAAGGGAGGACGTGCTCTGGGGGAGCCACGCAGCCAGGTGTCCACTTCCTGCCCCAGCAGGTTCAGCAGCAGCACATGCATGTACAGCCCGAGTGCGGGGACAGTGGCAGAGCCAATCTTTGGAAGTGACCCTCAGGACCACTCTCTCCATGTATTGTGTCCACTGAGCTCAGAGAGTGAAGACGTCCAGGATGTGATGTGCACAGTGATAATGACAAACAGGGCTTGTGCAAACGTGCGCACCCTCACACACACAGCTCCCAGCCACAGAGGTATCCGATATCCCAATGTTAACCATTTTCTTATTATCAAGTTACTTCAGTATAAAAGTCAAAGGAAATTACTATGGCATCTAGTGACTATAAACCCCAGAGATGGAGGCAGTGTTTGACCTGCTTTATTTGCCGCAAAGGTCAGTGGGAGAATAGTAGGAGTGTTTATGTAAAAATAATGCTTAATCTGGAACTGCCATATTTTCCAGAAAAAAGAGACAACCCAATCCACACATCTGCCACCCATCAGCTTAGGGCTTTTGGGCATATGTTTTATCAAAATACTTTTTAAAGATTATTTCCAAGTAGGGCAATTTAATGGGCATTAAACTGACATTCAAGAGCCAGCTTAAAAAGGGTACAGAACCCATCCACCCACTGAATTCTTAATTTGAACACATAGATTTCCAAGATGAGGCCATAAACATGTGTTGTGTGACCTCTTTTAGTCCTGGGAGTCGTTAAATAGGTTTCACATTATCTTTTCTGAAGAGAACATTTTTTCTGCCATTTCAGATCTGGTCATAATTTCCTAAAAAGGAAAAAGAAAGATTTTCATCAAAATGTTGATACTTCTTCCAGAATCTAACAAAATTCTCTAATTTTTCAACAGTCATGGCTTTTGTGGAGAACTGAGTATATTCCACGTTATACAAAGAAATATTAGGTATAGAAAATAAAACCACATAACCCATACTTCCTGGTATGTCTAGTCAGTTACCCACTGAGAAGTATAGGGAATGTCAACATTCCACCAGCTAGAACACATCCTGAGCTCAGAGTCACCAGGGAGAGGCAGGGACAATTCACCTGGGGATTCACCTCTCTTTACCAATTAACATACTTTTGAATTAGAAATCATGATTTACCAAATGAATACTATAAATGCTCTTTTAAGAATAATTCCATGGTAGAGTTATAAACCCTGAAGTTTGACTGGTTTGCATCTGGGTACAAGTACACTGCAGCCTTTCTAAACTCCCCATCCGACGACAGAGAATCAACAGGTTGATGGCAAAGTACCGGCCCTGCCTCTCAGTGAACAGAACAGACTGCAGGGTCCCTTGTTCTTCAGCCACCATGCAAGTTACTCCTCAGCACCACTGACCACCTTCAACTCTTCACATAAGCTCACGTCCCGCATCCCTCCTCTCACTCTTACACTTCACACTGCTGCCTGTCTTGGGCCACTATCCAAGGTCCAGATAATCCATAACTAACCCCCCCCCCCCCCACACCCGCCGCCCTGCAAAAAACAAAACAAAACACCTTCCTAAATCCGCATCCTTTATTCAAATTTCCTTAGTAAATGAAAATCAGTCAGAAACTTTATTTAACACCCCAACACAGTATCTTCAAGTATGAGATTAATTTAGACAAACTGCCATCTTTTAAACTCTACCTATACACAAGATGTAGAAAATCAAAGACCTAAAATCCCATAAAAGAATTCTTCCCTTCTTTTACTCCAACAAGCATTTATCTTGCTCCTGCTTTCAATGAGGATCCAGTTCCTTTAAACTTTACCCACAAGTCAATGCATTACCTTTCAGCTTGCTCACTCTGCAATCGTTTTAAAAAGTAACTTTCAACTGAAATACATTTCTACTTTGTGAAAATAATAGCCCCAAGGATGTCAGTGAAAATACTTTACCTCATCTGAATCTACCAATACCGGAAGAGCTCTGAAAAAAAAGGGAAAATGTTATTAGAAGGCCAGTGTCTACGAAAGCTGAAGATGAGCACACTACGCTCACCAATTTTTCTCCTGGATGGACAGAGCCACAGAGACGAACACCTGGGCTCACACTGCGGAAATGGTCTGGAATTCTAGTGTCAAACAGAATACGATAAAGAAGACCAGGAACAGCTCAGAGTTCCCCGAGGGGCTTCCTCTGCACCCTGTTTTTCCTCCAAGAGCTTCCTCACCATACAAGGTCATGTGGTTATATGTGGTTATATGTGGTTATATGTGGTTTACATGTGTTTGAACTTCTCCATAATAAAAAGTTAAAACCAAATGATTCTGATCCTATAAACATAGATCTGGAATTGGTAATAAGGGACAAGTACTAAAATAGTTGTTGTACAGTGAAAAAGGGAGGAGAAAGACAGAGCAAGGCAAGGCTGCGTTTTCTTTGCGATTCCATGTGAAGTAAACGAGTAATTGACCGGTGAAGGGGGCTATAAAAACATGGAGGTGGGAGGCTGAAAAGCACATGACAAAGTATGAACTCATCCCTTCACACTCGGGCCAACATGTAGATTCAAGCTCCAACAGGATACTTACACGTCTGTGAATGAAGAGGGAATATTTTCTTCCACCCACTTCAAATCTTCATCCTGGAGAAATAAACATTTACATATTCATACTTGCTTAATATTACTTGAAAGCGGAATTTTTAAACAGAATGTGTATAAAATTTAAGCATTTAATTAAAATGCATGACATTCTTTTAATTTTTACATATCCTAAGATATTGGCACTAATGCCACAAAAATTATGCCAGTATGTATTTTCTTAAACAGGCAAACAAAAATCTGGATTTTTAATTTTTATATTCTTGGTTTTAGTTGGCTGTGCAGTTATTTTTGTCCTGAAGAAAAAAAACACACATAAAAATACAAAGAATGGATTTATACAATAGAAAATAATAAAAATATTGATTTGTATTGATCCTCCCCCCCCCGGCATTTATTATGCTTCCTAATTTGTTCAAGTTTTATGAGTTTTTATTTTTTCAAAAGAAAAAGAGGAAGGTACAAATATTCTAACTTTACAAAAGTCTATCACTTATATTTATGCTCTCCTCCATAGATAAGAAAAGGAAAGCAGGTCATTTAGACTATTTTTTTTTTTTTAAAATAGAAACTTGCTTATAGTTACCTCACTGAGAGAAAGAAAAAGAAAAGGTATAATGAATATTTTGGTTTATAATGTAAAATAAATCAAAATGTTTCTTTGTGGTCTACCTGGATACATGACATATTCTGGTTCTAGTATTTATTACATGAAATATTCTGGTCCTAATATTAATAATAACTTGCTTACCTAGAGAGAGACAAAGCAACTGAGCCAGTATTAATAGAAACCCCAATTCTCTGAGTCTCAAAGAGAAATAAGTCAATGAGAGACCAGGCCCTGGCTTCTGATCAAGAACTAAATACATTTAATTTAGAGAAATGAAAAGGCTTTCCACTGATGTGTTTGCAAACACTGAGCTTTAAAACAAACTGAGATATATTCCTAAAACAAGAGGACAATACCTTAAACATATTGAAAGTTTAAAAGCTGTAACACTAGATAATTAAAACTGTTACAATTTCTTAAATTTATTTGAATTACCATAAAACTACTCAAAGAATACATTATAATTACTAACCATCAAAAATGAAACTTAGAGAATTTACTAAATTCAGCAAATAAAATTGTTCTCACAGGTCATCGATCCTGTCAGAAGTTATGTGCATACATGAATTTTTACACCGTATTAATCTAACATTTTTAATTGTAAGAAAGGATATAAACTGTATAATAGACCTGCCCAGGTGGCTCGGTGGTTGGAGCATTGTCCCATGCACCAGAAGGCTGTGGGTTGGATTTCCAGTCAGGGCACATCCTAGATTGCAGGTTCGATCCCCAGGAGGGGCATGTACAGGAGGCAACTGACCAATGTTTCTCACATCAATATTTCTCTTTCTCTCCCCCACTTCCTCTCTAAAATCAATAAAAACACTATTTGGCAGAAAGCCTCTTTTGTTTGAGCTGGTTTGAACTTAAGTTGCCACTCACCGGCCTGTTGCTAGCTCTTGTATAGCTCCTATGTTGGAGGCTGTCTTGGGGAGAAGATGTATTACTGACCAACCAGTGCTATTTTTGCCAGGATGGCTCCTGTGTCTGCTACTGCATTAGCAAGGACTACTTTACTGGACTGCTTTGTCTAATGGCTCATTAGTAGCAATGGCTACTTGGGCTACAATAAAGACTCTTATACACCCATGAAAATAAAACAAATAAATAAAATCAATAAAAACATATCCTTAGGTGAGAATAAAAAACAAAAACGGTATGATAGGCATTTCAATTTTGCTTAATTACTTTCATAATTATCACTTTTCTGCATAAATCATATACATAAAATACTTTAAAGCTCATCTCTGCCCTATATTTTGCCATTTTATTCAAGCTTCCATCATTTTTTTTAAAAAAATGATAATTTTTTTAACTGCATAGGTAATAAATATAGCAAAAGTCCCTTCCCAACAGATAACAGATGTTACCAAAATGTCTTCAAAATCACTTTCAAATGCTGAAAAATTAACACAAGCTTTTGCTCGAACAAAGCTTTTCCACCTTTATGGGCAGAGTAATCATTTATGGACCCCAGCTAGAGAGCAGATTCTGACTCAGCCGCTCTGGGGTATCTGAGTCTACATTGCTAACAAGTTCCTGGGTGATGCTCCTGCTATTGTTGGTCGGAGAACAGCACATGAGAAGCAGGATCTACAGCAGTTATGGTTATAGACTTAACCAATATTGCTGCTACTTGCTAACATTTATTTTCATACAAAAAACATTAGTAAAAAATGTTTCCTTGCCCTGGATGGTGTGCTCAGTGGTTAGAGCACTGGCCTGTGGACTAAAGGGTCACAGGTTCAATTCCTGGTCAAGGATATGTATCTGGGTTGAGGATTCACTTCCTGGCCTGATTGGGAGGCAGCCGGTTAATGTGTCTCTCACACATCAATGTTTCTCTCTCTCACTCTCTCCCCTAAACCTTCCCTCCTACTCTAAAAAAATCAATGGAAAAATAACCTTAGGTGAGTATTTAAAAAAGAAATGTTCTTCTGGTGGTCAATAAAAATGACAACTTCTTAAGTATTAAAGACTGAACTATTAAACATGTATGTTACTCACAAAATTATCAGAAGTAGATGGTTTAGCTGTTCCATTGGAAACCGTTTTTGAGGTCCTTAATTTTATTCCTTCAGCTATAATGAGAAATGTTACAGAGACAAGTACATAAAGTTATATAATATTTTCCTTCATAGCCTCATATTTAATAACTCACGAGAAATAATACTGTTTTTAAAAGAAGAAGTAATAGTATTATCTACTTGGTTGTGCTTCCTTCCCTCCTCCTCTCTCTCCTTCTCATCCTTTTTCTAAGTTTTCATCTCTTCTGAAATTTACCTTGTCTTCACCAATCTATTCCTGTAGATTCTTTAATATATCTGTAATAATTACTTTCAAAACCTTTCTTGCTAAGTATAATATCTCTGCCACTCCTGATCTCTATTGACTGATTGTTTCATTACTGATTCCTCTTTTATGAGTATCTAGTATAACAGAGGTTTCTACAGATATAATTTTTAAAATATTTTATAAGAAAAAAAATGTATCTTGAACTTACATCACAGGTAAAGATACAATACTTCTTTGTTAAAATATATACAATTATCACTCCATAAGAAAACATATCACTCACTTAAATTTTCAGATGTTACCATGAATTCTTCAACTTCATCATCAGAATCATCTATTAAGGGCATGAAGGCATACCTGTGTCAAAACAACAAGTTTTACTAGTGTGTTTAAGCCTATTCAATTTTCAGCTTTTAGTTAAAAGCGTCATTACACATAAAAACATCTACAATTTTTAAAGTTTCATGTAAATTAAGATAAAAATTTAATTACTTTTACTCTTAAATTAGGAAGGTTTTTATTGTGAAGAAATCGTGGACCTGAGCCCCCCAGACCGCTGGTGAGAGCAGAAATGAGTGAGATCTGTCTGGAGAGCAGTCTGACAACGTGTCATGTTCAGGGAGGGAATCTTGTTCATGCCAGGTCTCCCTCCCTGCTCACACTGTTTAATTCCTGCCCTAACAAAAGAGAAACTGCTAATTATAGATAATAGATAAATAATTATTAAATATGATTGGTGAAAATAAAACACACGAGTGAGCCACATTTACTAGGTCCAACAGCATTCAGAAAACACTGCTGTTAATAATGGCAAAAACCCTAGAAACAAAATGTTTAATATTCTGGGACTGCTTCCATAAATTATGCTACATTCATAACATGGAAGGCCATATAGCCATTAAAAGTAACATGGCAGGCCGAACCGGTTTGGCTCAGTGGATAGAGCGTCGGACTGCGGACTGAAGGGTCCCAGGTTCGATTCCAGTCAAGGGCATGTATCTTGGTTGCGGGCACATCCCCACTGGGAGGCGTGCAGTAGGCAACTGATCGATCTCTCTCATTGATGTTTCTAACTCTCTATCTCTCTCCCTTCTTCTCTGTAAAAAATCAATAAAATATATACTAAAAAAAAAGTTCCTTCCTTTTTACAGCAGCGTAGTATTCCATTGTGTAGATGTACCACAGTTTTCTAATCCACTCATCTGCTGCTGGGCACTAGGCTGTTTCCAAATCTTAGCTATGGTGAATTGTGCTGCTATGAACATAGGGGTGTATATGTCCTTTCTGACTGGTGTTTCTGATTTCTTGGGATATATTCCTAGAAGTGGGATTACTGGGTCGAATGGGAGTTCCATTTTTAACTTTTTGAGGAAACTCCATACTGTTTTAATGTGGATACGTTTTAACAAGAAGGTGCAGAATAGTGTATACATGTAAATATGTATTACTGTTACTGTGTAATTTTAAAAAGAGAGACAGCCTCCCTCCCCGTTGCACACTGGTACCTACTTACACACTTCCTCACAGCGCTTTTCTTGGGGAAGAGGAATGAGGTGGAGGAGGTGGGGCTCCCCATCACATACTGTCTAAAGCACAACCTTCTAAACTTAGCATTCAAGTCTTTACCTTCCTCCAGTGTATGTAGCATGAACCAAACTCCATGCCTTGATGACCTCCAAAGCATACCTGGTTTCCCCACTACCCAGAAATGTACACTCCTTCCCAGCTCAGGCCTTCACTTCCCTGCTCCTTTCCTTAGGATGAGACATGAATCCTGCCTTTTGGAGTCTTCCTCACCTTCCTCCATCTGCCCCTGGACTCACTTGACATGCCTGACTTCACTGTCCTGCATCTGTGATGGGTGTCTCCCCACCTGACCGTTTACTCCTGATAAGCATGGACTACTCTCCCATAGTCTCTACAGACATGTTAACACAGTAACAGGTTATCAACAAATGCTTGCCAAACCTGGATTTTCCTGTTAGGTACCTTTGATTATTGGCTGATGGTCTCCACAAAAACATTATTACCATAAGGATAAGTGAAAAAAGGAAGCTCCAAAACGCTTCATCAACCCAGCTTTCCATCCAATCCTACAGTAAGAACAATTCAAACATGAAAAGTTAATTTTCTATTAAACTTAAACATACAGATTTTCGATTCAAATAGTGTGCAATGACAAGTCCTAATGAAATCTCTCCAACCAGTTAAGTCTTCCAAATAATAAGTACACATTTTTTAAGAAAACATAAAACTATGAAATGCTATCTTTATAAAATCAACATTAATGCTTACTTTAGCCTTATAGCCAATCAGATGAATAAAACCCTAACATAAATTATATTGTATCATGTCAGAAAAAGAATTAGTTTAAAGACACTTCAGAGATCATTTAATGTATTTTCTTTAAGAGAACAGACATGAGGCAGGTTAACTGCAGAATTAGAATCAAGTTGACAATGGGTACAGTAGTCCCCTCTTATCCACAGTTTTACTGTCCATGGTTTCATTACCCATGGTCAACTGCAGTCCTAAAATATTAAATGGCAAAGCCCAGAAATAAACAGTTCAAAAGAAATTTAGAGAGAGACCATGTTCATATAACTTTTATTACCGTATACTGTTATAATTGTTCTATTTTTGTTAATCTCTTACTGTGCCTAATTTATAAACCTTATCACAGGTATGTATGTATAGGGAAAAACATAAAAAACATAGTACACTATACATATAGGGTTTAGTACTATCCACAGTTTCAGTCCACTCGGGTCTTGGAATATATCCCCCTCAAGTAAGGGGGGTGGGGTGCGGGCTGCTGTATTTTTGACAGAATTTCTGATGCAAAAATCTCAATGCAGTACTTCTCCCAATGGGTTGTTCTGCTTTTAGTGAGACAGGGGATTTTATCATGTTGTTTGAAATGTTTGTGAAGGGCTGTTGTTTAACATTATAAACATTCCCTTCCATAAAATGTTAGGGTTAACTGAAAGATTTAGAAAACAAAGGTGAGGGAAGGAGAGAAAAGAAATTCCAGCCCTGACCGGTTTGGCTCAGTGGATAGAGCGTTGGCCTGTGGACTGGAGGGTCCCAGGTTCGATTCCGGTCAAGGGCATGTGCCTTGATTGCAGGCACATCCCCAGTGGGGGATGTGCAGGAGGCGGCTGATCGATGTTTCTCTCTCATCGATGTTTCTGACTCTCTATCCTTCTCCCTTCCTCTCTGTAAAAAATCAATAAAATATATTAAAAAAAAAAAAAAAGAAATTCCAGAAAGTCAGTCTCTTATCTCATCCCTAAGGCAACGGAAGTCCAGAGTCCAGGCCTGTCAGAGGGCTGTTGTAACTGTTCATACAGAACTAGAGACGAGGTCCTAATCAAGACGCTCCCAAAGAGGGCCTTTTAGGGTTTCAGTCTAAGAAACATATCTTCCAACTCAAGAACTCACGGCAAGCATCTCCAGAGTGTTCATAATGGGTGTACCGCCCTAGAAACATGTCAGACTTAAGGCTTACAATCAATCCCATTAGATATAAATAGCCCAAGTTCATGGTGTGCAGGAAAAAAAGAATTTCCTGTTACCTTAAATTATATATGAGAGAATTACATATAATTCAAAATCTATGAAAGGAAGTTGAGAAAAGGGCATAACTGGAAAAGCAGATTTAGGAGAAACTTTTTCAGATTCATTGGAAGAGGCCAAAGTTTTTATAATTCTATATCAAATAAACAGAAAAATCTCCCCTGAAATTACCTCGATTTACAGACTAAATTCTTCAAAAGTACACGAAACAAAATAGTATAATTAAAAACAAAATCTATTTAGATTGTACTTACTGATCGACATTTTGCAAATCTAAATGTTGTAGTTGTCCACACCATAAACACGACAGAAGCTGAAACACACCGAAAAAGTCAGCTTTGAAGGAAATGTGATCCTGAAATAATCTGCTATAATTAGAAAAGTTCATTACTTACCCAGCACAGCAAAGATCAGCGTATTGGTAAAGTGCCTGTATAAAGAAAATTTCACCATGTTCTTTCTTAGCCTCAGGGTCTTCATAGTTTGTGCCACACTTATAAAAATGTGAAGAAGTTAAGGGAAAACATTTTAAAATAGTAATAAACTAAAATCAAAATAAGAATCGTTTACATGTCCAAAACTGGTACTGCTGAATGTAGTTCCATTAACTGAGAGGTAACAGAAACACAGCAAATGGAATTTCAACCGGTGCTGTATAATCATGATACTGACTACTGCAGATTTTGCTTTAAAATCCACTTCTGAATGAACCTGGAGGAAAACACACAAGCAAGAAGCCCCATGACGTCCTCCTCACTGCTGAGTCCCAGCCTACAGGCCAGAGCAGCACACGACCTGCCGGCCCCAGGCCAGCCGCTGTGCAGGTTCCCCTGGGATTTCCCACTTGGCTTGTGCTTTTCTCTTTCTCTCTAGTCGATTCCCTGACTGTAATTAAGAAACTGGATCATCTAGCAGTTCCATTTTATCAATTAAAAATTGAAATATGTCAAATAAAACAAATCTGGACTTAGGTAAGGACAGACTTCCTTCCAAGGACGATTGCAGAAGAGAGAATGTTCCAACTGTAAGATCTTTAAAGTCCCAAAGGTCACACAGGAGAGGGCTCTGCTTCTCCAGGGAGGAGGAAACAGGACTAGAGCGCTCAGGTGTGGGGAAGTGGGTGGCGTGATGGGATAGTGCATCAGGGAACGACTTTCCTGGGGTCTGCAGATTTCCAGGAGGGGCTTTTCCAGAGGCTTTGGGGGGACGAAAGCTCGGGAACCTGGGGGAAGGTGACAGCTTAGTGTGGTCCACACGGGTCAGCTGGTACATAGGTCTGAGTATGGCCCTGTCACAGGTAAGCCAGGGGGCGTGGGAATCTCATCTAAGTCCTACTGGACAAGGGGGTTCTCTGTAGTAGCCTATTCCCCGAAGGTGGAAGGGTGGGGCTTCCCTCACCACAGCGGTTCACAGGAGCCTGAGCTCGCACTCTCAGGTGGGAAGCAGAGGACCTCTGCACAGGCTCCTCAGCAGCGAGGCTGAGATGCAGACAGAGTCCGTCTGTAAGTGGGAGCCGCTCCTTGGGAGCACAGCACAGCTGTTCATGAACCACACCCGGAAATCACAGCACTGAGCAAGAGCATGCAAGCGGGAGATTCCCACTTATGCCTATTTTTCCAAATACTTACTAAACAAAAACTTCTTTTTAGCGGCTAAAACTACCAAAACTGCTTTTCTAAATGAGCAAAAAGTTGCAAAAGATCAAAAAATAACACAATCCAAACAATTAAGCTACTCTCAGAATTTATAAACATGCAAATGTGCTGTATTCCTTAACCAGTTAACTGCCACGATATTTTGAATTTAATTTGAAAAGTTCCGCCGCTTGCGTCTATAGACACTTATGGCGTACAAATGGTTAAACGTTATCAAGACAAATACTTGACTAAAACCAATTTTCTATGTCAAAAATCTGGTGTCATTTAATAATTCAAAAGTGCTTCTTAACCCCTAGAGTGCCGGGGAGCGCGATCGCGCTCCTCCTGTCTTTTGCCAAAAGTGCCCGGAGCGCTATCAAAGCTTCGAAATGGCGTCCAGTTCTAAGTCTGCTTTTATTAGTGATGATGATATTGCTAAATATGTCAATGTAGTAAAGGTTTCCTTAAGTTTTTGAATATGTAACTTCATTTACTTGCGACTCATAATTTTTTTCCTAAACTGCTGTAAAATCAGCAAAAATGCCTTGGCAATTTTAGCATAGTTCCTAGGATATTGGTTGGCACTCAAAGGGTTAAAAGCCAAGGAACAAAAAGATCAAAGGCAAATTCAGAACTGCCTAAGCCTGCACTTACCAAAACACCGCTAACGGAGGGAAGCATAACCATTTCGCACATTAGAGCCAAGTGTTAGAAAAGCGGATGGTGCACCATCCCGAAGGAGCATCCACGGGACCCACTGCCGCAGGAAAGGATATCCACCAGCACAAGCCAGAGTCAAGAAGAGACAGAGGGAGGCTGGCCAGAAGCACAAGATCAGAGTCACTGGCCTGCAGCAAAACAGCAAAGAAAATAAAACGGGCAGAAAAAACAGGAGGGGGATTCGTGAGAAAGCCTTGTGGATTTGAATTTTTTAGGCTATTTCTGCTATTACTTTAGAGTTAGATTTGTACAGGATTAGCGGCAATGAATTCACCAAAAGCAAAGGAAGCAAGGGTCCTTATGCAAGCACCCGTCTCTAGGCAGCCCTGCTTCTTTGCTCATCACTTGTATCATTTGGGAAACCCACTCTCTTTTTGTACAGAGAAAGCAGGCCTTTCAGTAATAAAAATTACCAAACAGCCCTAGCCAGTTTGGCTCAGTGGATGGAGCATTGGCCTGCGGACTGAAGGGTCCTAGGTTCGATTCCAGTCAAGGACACATAGCTCGGAGGCAGGCTCCTTCCAGGTCCAGGCCCTGGTTGGGGCTTGTGCAGGAGGCAACCAATCAATGTGTTTCTCTCACATCGATATTTCTCTCTGTCTTTCCCTCTCTCTAAAAATCAATGGAATAATATCCTCAGGTGAGGATTAAAAAAAATATATCATCAAACAGCAATCTAAAAGAAAGCACCTTTTTTTTTTTAGGTAAATTTCCTTCTCTCACCATGAAACAATAACACCCCATGGATTTCTTCATGACTTTCATTTCACTTTTGTTCTAAATATGAATAATAAACATTATGTCTTACTAATCTTTCACCTTGTTTTCCTTTTTCCCCACCCCAATTTGGCTCCTGTGATGGAACAGACCAAAGCCAATGCTGTCCATAAAGGAGAGAAATTACCCTCATTCAAATCCAGATGGAATTAGAGCATTCAGAGCTGCAGCCCTGCCTCTCCCCCTTCAGGGGTGCACACGCTGCCCGCCCTTTCCTAGGCCAGGTGAGCGGCCCCTGGAGTCCTGCCTCTCCCCCTTCCAGGAACGTCCACACTGACTGCTCCTCTCCTAGGGCAGATGAGCTTCCTGCAGTGATGCACCTGCCAGAACAGGACCTGCAGCCCTAGAGTCACATGCAGGACTGAGGAATGTACTTTACCTTTTAAACAACAAATGTCTTCAAATGTGTTTTAATATGAAAATTACTAGTAAGATGTTTATACCACTCTCTTAGAAGATCAGACTTATTTAACTAGAATTTTATTCAATAAACTTGGATTCTAAACTAGTAGCTCTAGACAGAAGTAGAATACGATTTTCAATCAAGTTCGGTCAGAAACAACTCTTTATATCTCAAGTACTATTTCTTAACTGGACACCCCTTAGACACCAGGGGATCCATGACTATCACTTGGAAGGACTGTAAATGCCCCACTGCAGGCAACCCGCCTGTGTGGGTGGGGAGCACACCTATAACTGTGCATAGAGGCTCCAGGCCTCATTACACTTTCAAAGGCATCTGATCCCAGGACCCAAGCAAGACTGAGGACCACTGCTTCAGAGAATAAGGCTAATAAAGTTAAAGTTTTGTTTTCTTATAAGCAAACTGAGAATTCACAAAGAACAGGCAGACCTGGCCTAGAAGAACCCCCATGAGGGACTGGGAAAGCCTCAGTGCACATGCGCAGGTCCAGCTGCTCCCCTGGAGAAGGGACCTGGGCAGAGGCAAGCCCTCCACCTTCCCCTGAGAGACAAAGATGAGAAAATGAAAAGAAATACAAGGAAGACAAAAGAACCTTTCATATTAAAAGCTAAAAAACAAGTATCAAAGATAATGGGGACAAAAAAACTTGGTAAAAATAAAACCTATCATAGAAGAGTTTCAGAGAGAACATAAATGCAGAAGAAAGAAATGAAAATAGTGTTCTGCTCCTGCAGAACCCTGCCTTCTGCTCTGACCAGGCCATAGCTCCTCTAGAATTCCTCCATTTTAGTGAGTACATGTGCAAAGCCCCACCAGACAGAAAACACATTGGGGAAACCCAGACTCCAATGAGTCCTGAATCAGGGAAGGGGTCCTCAAGGATCAACTGACACTGCCCTCACACTTCTGCTGTGCTACGTCTTCTGCCCGCCACCTTCACCAAACCTGCTCTCCTGCTGTCCCACTGCAACCTCTGCACGATGGAAGCCACTGCGCCTTGGGAATCCCTCTCTGCAGCTCTGGCCGCTGCAGACCTCCCCCCTCACCGAAGTTCTCCCAATCTCCACTCCCTAACAACTCCTGGTTCTCCCACCTCCCTTTACCTGGTGCTCCTCCTGCGCACAACCCACCCACCAGGCCCTCTGGTTCCAGGCCCTCTGGTTCCTCTCTTCTAGCTGTTCTGTGTGTTCTCCTTGGGCCACTTGCACGTTGCAACCTTCTCTCGAACAAAGGTGATCTCCAACCTTCCCCACCAGTTCTGACTCCTCTTGCAAACCCAGGCTGGGATTTCCAACTCTCTTTCTCATACTTATTCCCCGGCAGCTCAAACCGCATCCATATGGTCCTTCTCCAAGGCACCACCTTGAGAATGGCAACGCTGCCCCAGCCACTCGAACGAGACCCGTGGGACTTCTCTGGAGCCTTCTCCTCTTCTTCTGCAACTCTATCATGTGGAGTTTTTCTTTATTTCCTCTGCCCTATTTCTAACCCTCACCATCTCTTCCTTGGACCACTGCAAAAGACTTCTTACTAGACTTCCTGTCTCTAGTCTCTTATTTTCCAAGTCATCTTTTTAGGTCATCTTCAGTTCTTTCTAACACACATTTCATGTTTTTCCCCTGTGCAGCTTCGATTCCCTCTACTTTCTACCTGCACAAGGAACTCTCATTGCTTGAGCAGGTCATTCTACCCTTTCCTCTGCCCCACCTTCCATGGCTCCCATACCCGTTCCCCATAGGCAGCTACTCTGGGACACTCTGCCACTGTCCATGCATTCCAACTACGTGTTCCCTTCAATTCTTCCCAGAATGCCTCTTCCCTGATTCTTAATTCTCTTCCTTCTAAACCTATTTGTCCTCCCAGTTTCAATGTAAACATCACCATCTCTATAAAGTCTTTCCTGATTTCAAGCTAGAATTACCTTCTCTCATTCTTCTGTTTGCATGACACCCCCCTAAATGGCCAAGACTATTGCTATAGTCCTCGTAGTTATTTTTGTCTCTTCTACCAGACTGTGGATTCTGAAGCACAGAGACAATACCCTTTTCTTCCAGGCCTTCTCAGTATGGGGCACACAGTAAGTACGTAAGTTTGCTTAACTAAATAGAAAAAAACAAGATATTCCTTTTTGGGGAGTTGTTACTTTTTCACCTTCAACTAAATTCCTATGTTGAGGTAACAATAATGTAAAACTATATTTCTTTCTCTTATTAATAATACAAATTAAAGTAATATGATTTTAATGCTATAATAAACTATTTTAGAAGGACATAGTAAAGGATATGAACCATACAAAAATGGAGTCGATAACTGCTAAAATAATGTCACCAGAAAGAACAGCTAAATGGTTAGAACCCTGAAAGATAAAAATGGGAAGAAAAAAACTGAAAGTAGAAGTTTCATTATATTACAGGAATTATCTGATGAAAAAAACAATTCAGTGTACAGCATCGCTTTATAAAGGCCACATAAAAGATTTTTACAGAATTGTCTTTAAGCACATGAAGATGATGTTTTGTTACCAACTCGTTTGAGGACAAGGTCCAACTAAACTATGGAATGGCAAATAGCAGGTACATGTCCCCAGCCCCCCAGGGCAACTGTTAACCTCCCCTCTCCACACCAAACCTATAGCCACAGCTACTAGGGAAATGGACCCTCCTCTTTCCTACGGCATGCAAAGGATGTGGAGAAAGTAAAATAAGGAAAAGGAACTGAGTGGAAGGGGAAAACAAACCATTGATTAGCCACTTACTCTAATGGAGAGCTGACAGAGAAGTGTATGCAAATCACATATCTACAATGTTAACTATGTGAAGTTTTAAGGAAATATAACATACTATAGGCCCAGTGCACAAAATTCATGCACTGGGGGGGTGGGGGGGGGCGGGGAGAGGTGTCCGTCCCTCAGCCCAGCCTGCACCCTCTCCAATCTGGGACCCCTTGGGGGATGTCTGACTCCCCAGGGGAGCTGTGGGGAGCAGCAGTGGAGACCCGCTCCCCCCCCTCCCCAGCGGGGCTGAGGGGACTCGGGCGGCAGGTGCACAGAGCAGCAGCCAGGCCTCCTGCTCCCCCCACAGGGCCACAGGAACTGTGGCAGCAGGCGTGCGGAGCAGCCAGCCCTGCCCCTGCTATGCGCACCGCCATCTTGTGATGGCATTACAGCTTGAGGATTAATTTGCATATTACCTCTTTATTAAATAGGATATACTATATCTACATTGGAATATCTTTTGTTTTGTTTTCCCCCTATAAAGATTAGTTTCCCATAAGTGATATATAAATGCAGAGTTCTTGTTATATAAAGGTAAAAATAAATACCCCTTTCAAGAATTAAAGATGAAAACAGCAGGGGTATCTAACACAGAATGCAGACTATCAAGACAACAGGAAGAAGAATGAGACTTAACATTATAGGACAAGTGTCCTGTTTTAAGGATCAGAGCAAACATGTGACTTGAACTCACAGACAATATATGGATAAACCGCTCTGTGCAGTAACCTGATTTATACATCTAAGCCAACACACTGCAGGCAAAAATTACAAGGCTCTTTAAATCAAGTACAAAATAACTTTCCTAATCACTCAGCCATCAGTTATAGTAAGAAAAACTGAGAGCGAAAATCTAAGGTTCATCACAGACATAACTATTCTGACTTCTCTCGAGAGGAAAGCATTGCTGCCGCAGCACCAGCCATTCCACTGAGCACTACCTGCTCCTGTCTCTTCAAAGAGTGGGCTCTGCGGAATCCCCAAAATAGCGCATCTATAGAGTCAGAGAAAACTTACAACCAAATGGGACTTAACAGTGAGATATATAGTCTCTGTGCGTAAGGGATACAACCGACTTTCTCCTGACTTGATACATGGTTAAGCCCAGGCGTAAGGAAGAAATGAACGTGTACAGACTGAACGACAGAGACAAATGCTCTTCAAAGGAGTAACTATGAACATCTTCGAGATGCAGCCAGTCCCACATCATTCTAGGAAGTGCTCTGCCTTGCCTTTCACTTTCAGGAAGTATTAACAAGGAAAATATTCCATAGGAAATAAAGCTTAAATTGGGCCTTTTTCATAAATTTCCTATCTTTGAAAATTCAGCCCTAGCTGGTTTGGCTCAGTTGGTCTGCGGACTTAAGGGTCCCGGGTTTGATTCTGGTTAAGGACACATGCCCGGGTTGCAGGCTTGATCCCCAGTGGAGGGTGTGCAGGATTCTCTCTCATCATTAATGTTGCTATCTCTCTCTCCCTCTCCCTTCCTCTCTGATATCAATAAAAAGTGTATTTTTTTAAAAAATTCATCTGGGGAGATAGAAAATCATAGCAAAAACAAAAGGGGTGGTAGTGAATTATGTAGTCTTACCCCAACAACTCTCATCACGCCTTCGACTGCTGCAAAGATGAAGTAGAGAAGCCCCAGTCCAATTACCCGGTGCATGACTGTCCCTAAGCGAGGCCTGGAACAAGGAGGAGAAAAGGCAGAAAAACAAACAAACCATTGGTAAGATGGATGCATCTAAGCACAGTCACTGGCCCCATTTCAATACAGAGAAGTGACCGCCCAATCACGTGTCTTACTCCCACCGGAGGTGCTTTGCTTTAGGAAACACCACATTCCCTGGGAACAAGGCAGCAATGGGCTCAGAAAACAGGCCTCCTTCTCTGGCACTGGAAGCGACAGAGGGTTCTGCTGCCGAGAAGGCAGTGTGTGCTGCACATTATCACCCAGCCCAGGTATGATTTCATAGCAGAAGAGCAGATGGAAGAAACCTGGGAAGCTAAAGGGCAATTCCTGAGTGTCACTGGCAGAAATCATAATTCTTTTACTGACGTTAATTAAAAACTGTTCAGGGATATGCTTTGGTAGAGATAATCTGCTGATTTATGGCTTGGGCAGAGAAAGAGCAGGGTATTCGGAGACCAAATTCTTTCAATACCTGAAATGGGAAGGCTAAGACTTTAATTTTTATTCTTTCAATGCAAAAGAACTAAAGTAACAGTCTGAGTCGTTCAATATATAAATGAATTGGGAAAATGCAAAGATGGTGATTTCTGCAATTAATGTGAAAATAGAACTGAAATTTCATGACATTTGCAAGTCAGAATTTATTAGCTCAAAACACCCTCTTCTCAGTTAGAAGAAAAAAATGGTTTTGAAAAAATATTTAAATTTGTCCTTTTGAAACAATATCTAAGTAAAAATTAACCTAGCATCCACAGCTCATATGTAAGACTAGCTATCTAACTTAGGTCCTCTGAGTTCTGACTCGTGATAGCCAGCTAACTGGAACCCTCCAACAGCCAGAGCGTTAGGCCTCACTCTGTGAGAGCTGACACAACAGGCTGACAGTGAAGGGACGCGCTCACCAAGGGCTATGCCCATACACACAGCTCAGCGTCCTGTTCCCTGGAAGCAACTCACCTCACACCGAGGCACCTGATGTTCATAACGAGAACAAGGAGGTACCTGAGATGCAACCAGAGGGTTTTGTGCTCTGTATGCTGTATCATGCCCCCAGCCTCAAAGCAAAGCATCTGAGAAGGAATCTCAATAAAAGCCCAATGAAAAGAAGCTCTCCTGGCTAAAATCTCGCTAAGTATACCAATCCTGAGCTCACACACATGCATGTGCACATTCATGCTAGTATTTACTGCATGGCCTGTGTCAGGGGTGGCACTGGGGCCTCAGGGAACACAGGACACAGAACAGGCAAAACTCCTCCTCCTCTCCTGTCAGGGGAGACAACAATGCTAACGTATGCATCGAGTGGTCTTGTATAGAGGGTGGGGCTCTAACGGAGGGTGGGTGCCGCGTTAGGAATCCTGGCAGGGCTGTCTTCCTGGGGAGATGACAGAGGAATAGATACTGAGGGAAGAGAGGGGGCACACCATGCCTGGGTCTGGGGAAGAGGCCCTCCACTGCAAGGAAGTGTGTCGTGTTTAAGGAACAGCAACAGCAAGACAGCGAGAGGACTGAGCAATGTTCAAAAGGGAGGAGGCAGGAGAGGAGGGCAGCAGTCAGAAAAGCCACAGGTGGAATTTGGGTTTTACTGAGAAAAATTAGCAGAAAATAATGAGACCTGAGTTACATTTTAAAAGGACTGCCTTAGCTGCAGCTGTCTGAACAGACTGACCGGAGACCATGGCAGAGGCAGGGAGACCAGGCAAAGGGCCCAAGGGGTTTGCAAGATGTCAGTGCCCTGCAGGGTCAGGAATGTACAGCTGAAGGGTAGGTGACACGTGACAGGGGAGGGCTAGTGGAAGGTGAGGCCCAAAGGCCAGAGGCTGCACCAGGATCAAAGAGTAACTGGCGCTGACATATCAGAGAAAGTGAACTGGAGAGAGGCAGTGAGAGCTGAATGATGGATTGTTTAAAACTGTGATGATGATGATGATGATGATGATGATGGTGGTGGTGGTGGTGGTACAGGTGCACAGAGTCATAAAATCTTGAATCCCAGCAGAGGTGAGGTGAAGGGCAAGACAGCAGAGGTGATGAGGTGAGGAGATCAAGTTACTTAACACAGGGAATTCTGGTGGAGACAGGGAACAAGGGCTCAGGGAGGTAAGGGATGAGAGGAGAAACCTGGACAGTGACAAGGGCCAAAGCAAGATGGAGCAGGCGGTCCAAACTGAAGGCCTGAGCTCTGGGGGTCAGGGGTTTTAGAGAAGAGGGAAGAATGGTCTGAAGAGGATAAAGAGGAGAAGCTCTTTCACATTCAGGCCCCTAGACTCACAGGGATGAGAGGCAAGACTTGCTTGAGAGGGTTGGGAAGAAGCTGGGGCTGAGAGGACAGGATTTCAGTCAGAAATCTTGCTGACTTGGTGGGGATCCTTCTCTTAAGATGACCAAATAGTCATAAAAGCATAACTATGCTGTTTAGAAAACAGAAAATGGATTGAACTTCAAGGACTATTTGAATTTTTCCATATCCTCAAAGTTGATTATTCACTGAGCTATAAAAAAAGCTACTGGAATTCCAACTCGGGGCCTTGATTTTAAGACCGTATCCAATAGTTAGTGCATGGCCATCCCTGAGGAACGCGTTCTTGCAGAGACTTCCCAGGGGGTTTGTGTAATGATACTGAGAGGTGTCCAGCCTCACAGGTCACAGTGGGGGTGGCTGGCTGCAGGACTACAGACGCCATGACTTTGCAGCACAGCAGGACTTACTTCACGATGCCGTATCCCAAGCTCATGATGATCACCAGGAGGCGGGCCAGTGTCCTCTTGATCGCAGATATCAACTCCGCAAATATCAGCAAACTTTGGGCTGAGGAGAAGAAATCAGCTCACTCTGTGTACATCTGGAGGCCGGCCACCAATTCTAAACATGTAGCACATACAGCAACCTCTGACCTCAGGTGGATTAGCCACATTTGATCTCCAAGGTACCTAACTCAGCTGATGCTGGAACCTCAGTGAAGGGGGTTTACAATCTGCTGGAGGAGTCACTCCTACCCACCGGCTCTGCTGGGCACAGCTTTCTTGTACCAGCATGAAACCTGTGTCCCTGCACTTCCCTCCATGGTCAATCTTCCCCCTTGTACCCTAGTCTTTTCTCAGGATGTCTTCATCATTTATTCATGTGTGGCTACAACAGTAACAGAGATACCATGGTCCCTGCCTCGAGGAGCCTGTACTCTGGTTAGGACAAGTCAACAGACGAAACCCAGCCTGGTAAGTGACAGCGGTAACACACTCTCTCCTGGATTGTGAAGAAAGCCAAGCTAATCCACTCGCGGGGAGGTGCATGTGAGTCCAGATAAGTTTCTCAGAGGAAGTGACATCTAAATCAGGATCTAAAGGTGCGGCAAAGTAAACTATCTGGGAGAGAGACAGGAGAAGCAAAAGAATGGCACATCCAAGGGCAGAGAGGAGACAAGAAAAAAAGCTAAATGTGCTCTGGGAAGTGAAATTCAGCCTGTCTGCAGCAGAGCATAAGTAAGGAGGGTGCCGAGGAAATAGGCCGGGACAGGAAGAAGCAGTCACAGGGCTGTAGGCCACGTTCTGAGTCTCAACCTGAAGCTAAGGGCAGCTCATAATCGATAGTAAATGAGGGAGTAAAAAAGGAACCAGTAAACTACAGCCCTGGGCCAGATCTGCTCCTAGGCCTGTTTTTATAAATAAAGTTTTATTGGAACACAGCCATGCTCTTGTTTGTGGCTGCTTTCATGTAACAAGGGTTGAGCAGCTGCAACAGAGACTGTATGGCCCATAAAGCCTAAAATAGTTACTATACGGCAGAGTAGTTTGGTGACCCTTGAAATAAAATGGATAGCTTTATTCTTTATAAGTACAGGAGTGCTGTACTTAATGGCTTAGACAGGAATTGGACTGCAGGTGAGGAAATGCTTGGGGCTATTCCCGAAGTCCAGGAAAGAGTGCTGGCAGGGCAGATGGAGAGAATTAGAAAGTATTCAGAAACCAGGTGTGAACCACCTCATTATTCTTCTTTCAGCTCCTTTGTCCACCTTGTCCACAAGAAATCACAAGAGGCCTGTCAAGTACCTTGAAGAGGTACAGATACACGCAGTTTAATACGTTTTCCCACAACCAATCTAGAAGCACAACAGAAGGAAGTCCACCTGCTATGACCCATTCTTACTGTTAAAAGCCACCTTGGGTCTTAACCGTCACTGCTCCCACCCCTTTAAAGTCTCTTCTTCCAGGATCAATGTGAGCAAGACAGCGTCGGTAACAGAATTCCCATCTGGGAAACCACACATCAGCCCCTGCCCAGCCTCCTGGCACTCTCCTCTCCACAGGACTCAACACTGACAGCAGTCTGGGGTCTGTCTCCCAAGCCCTGCTGGTGTCGTCCCAGACAGAGGGCTTGAGGACAGCAGATGGGGCGCAGGCTCTGGCTGCCCTTGCCGCAGTCCACTCCACAGATAAGAGATGACCACCTGCCTCTTTCAACATTCAGGAACACTTCAATCCCAGCCATCAGCAGCAGCCCCATCCTTCCTCCTTCCTTATTTACCAGTAGGTAAGAGACACAAAAATGTCACTGAACTCCTTGTGGAGTAATGGCACCTCCCACGTGCCTCCCTGGATGCTGTCCTTTCTTTATTCTCTTGTACGAGTCCTTTTAAACTTTTTACTTGGGGAAATGACCAATATTCCCTAGCAGAGACAGTAAATGAAATCCATGTACAATCACTCAGCTTGAGTAATTATCAGCATTATGCCAAATTTGTTTTATCTGTATTCCAACTGTTTTTCTCCCCTAGAGTATTTTAAATGAATAGCAGACAGAAGCACGCCCTTGGACAATCTGAGCCAAGCTCGTCCCCTGACGCCTCAGCAGCACGTCCCTGAGCGCGGTCAGCCCTTCGGGGCCTCTCCCTTCCCAGGCTCAGCGACAGAATGAACTGTTCCTTGACTTCTCTGGCTTCTAGACATCTATCTACCTTCTAGAAGTCTGGGCATACACTGCGGATGCCCAAGCACATGCCCCTGCTGCTGCACACACAAACTTCACATGGAGACCTCTGCCTGAGAGGAGGCAGGACAATGCAAGAAGGCTGCAGGCACCACTAATTTTACTCGCCAGGGGCATATATTCTTTTTCTTTTTTTGTTTTTTTTAGGAGGAAAAAAAGTAGAGGGTGGGAGGGAAACAGAGAAATATGATACAAAACTGGCAGCACCCAAAGCTCCCCATCCAGACATTGTGTTTTTAATCTGGTCAAGGTGACTGGCCATAAGGGAACGAGATTTCCTTCTCCCCGGGAGGAAAGGGAGGGAAAGGCAACAAGAAGAAAAATAAAGAATGAAGACGACACACATGCTGGCCCAGATCAGAATCACACTCCTGGTCTCCCCATGGCCTCCCTCCTCTTCACCTACCACGTGGCTGTTCTCGCAGCTGGGCTCAGACACCGAGGCCCCGGAGATCGACTGTGTTTTTGGGGAAAGTCACAACTTACTTGATAGCCCAGTGCTGTTGATGTTTTGGTATTCAGCATAAAACACTGCTTTTTCAAGCATTCCCAGGAATATGACAGCTGCAATCCAGAACTGAATTCTTAATATATCTTTCCAATAACAAGCAGACCACATCAGCCAGAGCAAGCCACATAAAATGTAGACAATGCACATCACCATGTAAAACTGTAGGGAGAGAAGCAATTGTAATCACCTAAGACTTACTATCATTTGAAAATCAGTATTTCTCATTCAACTCTCATCCTTTATTTTCCAGTCACTCTGGACAAAGAGGGCATGTCAGGGCACTAGCTACTAAGGGATTACCGTCACTGAGCTCTTAGAATTTTTAATTTTCAAATTAGGATACAAAATTCATTTTTTTTAAAATGGTAAAACATACTCACAATCATGAGAGGCCAATCTGATGCAGAGAGATATCCTTTCGGCCCCATCATAGAAAGAGAAACTGGTGAAAGTGAGGGTGGGGATAAAGAAAGTAAACAGTTAAATTAACAGTTTTCTCTTAAGTTTTAAATGTAAGCTCATTCTCCAGAAGACTCCAAAAATACAAAGCAAGCAAACAAATGCTGAATCTTTCCCTAGCACACACAGATATTGGATTGTTAGTTACATAATGTGACCTTATCAAAATACCTTCACTAGTACACACTCGGTTGTAAAACCTGGGCCAAATCTCGCCTCATGCAGATAGCAGAGTTTCACTGGCTACAGTCTGGCCCCTGCTGAGTCACCAACCTCCTGAGGACTTTGTCTCCCTTCACTCACTGGGATGAACGACTGACCTCAAGCACCTAGTCTGGGTTGGTGTCTAAGAATAAACAGAGTGTCTAGAACAGTGCAGAACTCACTGGACTTAGCAACTGCTCCAGTTTCTAACGAGCAGGGCCTCAACCCTGCCTCTAGCACCTGGAAGAAGGGGGACCAGCGAGGTAGCAGAATGGCAGCAAGGTCCCTGCTCCCTCTATGTGGCATGGCCTGGCCCACATATCACCTCCAGGAGGAGGCTCTACTTCACATTCCTCCACATCGGCCCCTCCACCACCCTCCCCAGGGTCATTAGCTTCCCCCACGAGACACCAGTCTGTGCCTCTCTGCAGTGATGCCTGTTCACCCCACTGCTTTCTGCCCCTCCCCTGCACTGGGCGCCTCTCAGAGACAGGGCCTGGCTTCCCCTCTGTGTCCCCAGTGGGTGAAGAAGAATGACCTTCAGGACCCTCACAGGCTGTTGGCTCCTGTCAGCCCAGCAGCCGCTCTGGAAAACGACAGCAAAAGCCATTGCAGGGTGTGTGAAGGCCTTCATTCCCTTGAAAACTGCTTGCTGTGAGGATGCTCTTTCTCTGGGCACAGAGAACTACGGCTTAATGAGCCACAGAAGGGCTAGCGTGTGGGGCGAAGGGGAGCTCATAGACCCCAGCAGCCACAGTTGCCAGATATGCTACTTCTACTCCTAAGTTATAAACTAATGTTTTAAAAAAAACTTTTCAAAGAAAAATAATTTTCAAACCTTGACGATGGCCATTTTCAACAAACAGAATATAACTTACTTCAAATACAATTAAGATGTTGCCTGCCCATCTGTTTTAATATTTTTTTAACATCTGGAAGAATGGTTTTCTATCCCACCATTAAGTTTAAAATTATTTAACTTAATTTAAAATTTCCAATCCATTAAGATAAGTACAAAGTTTTAAGTCCCCCAAATAAACAGATTATTCATTTTTGAGATTAACAGAAATTCATTTTTCAATGTGTTTTAACAGAGAATGTAGATTTGGATCAATGACAAAAATACAGAATACAGTAATTAGATAATAAACATGCATGCAGTTTAACTGTACCATTCAAATTCCATTTTGCATTAGGTTTTCCAGTTTTAATAGAAACAATAAGGATGTGAAACCCATCTCTATGTGTTCTTGCAACAACATCCTGAAACAGGAAAAAAATATCCTTTATGGTATTTTTTAAAATTGCTATATACCATAAGACAGAGCCAAACAACTGTTTATCACATTTTAAAACAACTTTTAATAAGCAAAATGGATCATTTTTAAAAAACATAAATAGGTAACACAGAGAAAAGGAAGAGTGGGCAGTGGAAGGATCCCCCCTCCCCGCTTTTTAAAAATTGATTTTAGAGAAAGGAAGAGAGAGAGAAAGAGAGAGAGAGACATCAATTGGTTGCCTCCAAGCATGGGCCCCAACCAGGGATCAAACCCGCCACCTTTCGGTGTATGGGAGGGTGCTCCAACCCACTGAGCCACACTGGCCAGAGCAATCCCCGTTTTCTACCACCATCCTTCCAGACCCAAAGGGATGGAAGAGGAAAAAAGGAGTCCTTTCCACTCCTTAATGTTTTCTACTTTTTATATTTCTACAGGTTTCCCTTAATATTACCACTCTATGGTTATTTACTATCACCATCCAAATAGTTTCTCTTCCCTTACTTTATCCAAATGTCACCATTCAGTTTTTCAATGTGTTTTTTAATTAACTGTGGGAGGAAGAAGTCAGATAACATCGTGAGAAATGACTCAGATTCCGTATACAGGCTAAATTATTTAAATTCTTCAAGGTACTGTTACTAGCAGTCCCACTGGAGACTATGACTGCTGCTGTAATGTCTATGACCCCTTCAAGGCCCCACATAACCGGGCCAAACTTCTCACCTTCCTCCTTGCTGACTATTTCCTGTCCTTCCCTTTCACTTCCTCCTCTCCCGAGGCAGTTAGTGCCAAGTGTGTGGCCTGCAGCGTGAATACCTTTCCGCTATCCGGCTACTTTTTAAGATGGTGCAAGAAAATGAGAAATGTGAGCAACCATTAAGCAAACAGTAAGCTCTCCTAAATCTGCTCAGTTCCTATACACAACTCTTATTACCCTCTTGGCTTCTTGGTCTTCTGACTTTTAGCAATTTCCCAAAAGACCACATTTTCTCTCCCCTCCATGCTACACTCATGGTTTCTACCTATTTCTTTGCATCCTTAATGACGATACATACCGGCCCATTTATTATGCTGTCTTGGACATTTGAAAGCAAATTTTATTTTTTAAAGAAAAAGAAAGACTACAAAGAAGTTAAGCTTAAATTATAACTTTAAAGAGATTTTTAACAAACACAGAAGCAAGTCTGTATAAAATTCATATAGACCTACGTAAGGAAATATACTGTTTTAAATAAAGGTTCTTTTTCCTTTCCCAATTCTAATAACCCTATTTTATATCACTCTCCAAGTGCTCCATCCATCAGCAGATTCTTCCAGTCTTACTATATAGCTTATGTATATAATTTGATGTAAAGACAAATAAAATGACCTACCATTTGTTCCTCCTGGTTTGAAACATTTCCAATATTTGAAATTAGTTCTTTATTCTGGAAAGGAGAATAAATAATCCCATTTTATATTACTGCATTTCTATGGGGATAAATAATTTTAACAGTTAATAAAAAAAAGTGTTATAAAAAAAGTAAAAATTTGAAAGCAGAACATCAAAAAACAAATTTCACTGTAGCCCAAACATGAGTGACGAAGTTCAGCTTTGGAAAAATTACTCCCTTACTCAGGATAGTGGCCATGGTAGGGGGACAGAACTAGGAACTTAAAAGGAAGCTCCAGGTGCTAATATATTTGTCAAGCCATATACTTCTGATAAGCCCACTTTATTATATGTTTATTACACTTCATAAAATTTTTAAGTAATCCCTTTAAAATTTTTACTAGACATATTTTCATTTCAGAATTCACAGAGCAAAAAATAAGTTAAAATGACCCATAGCCTTAATGTCTCCCAGAGATGATGGAGGGTGACATTTTCGAATCTGATCTTCCACACTGGGAGGGAGCAAGTGCATAGAGAAGGAGAGAGTATTCACTTGTGTTAAATGCTGACAGACTGTGGTAAGAGGAGCAGACCACTGGATTGAACAACGTGGTCACTGGTAACCTTGACTGGTGGGGTTTTGGTGGGACAATGGAGTGGTGAGAAAAGAGATGAACTGACAGCAGATCATGAAATGACGTTGTTGTAAGGGGGGACAAAGAAACAGAAAATGGGGCCAACATCTTACTAAGTGCTACCACAATCACAAAGAGCCAAGCCTAAAATTTAACAAATTAAGCACCTTAATAAAAATTTTGGTCAAACAGAATTTAGGCTGATACTTGTATGCACTGGGAGTAAAATAAATTCTGTGTTACATGGCAAGACAAGATACTCACATATAATGAGGGAAACACCTGTAAGTCACTGTTGCAATCTATGTTTTCATTTTTTGTTGTCCAACATTCAATGTTCTTGAAATAATTACCACAAAAGTCTTCGTCAATACTTTCAGGCTTTTGTGACTGCTCCTACCCAAGGTAAAATTTTGTTATAATTTATTTCCACACTTCTTAACCAAGAAGACAAATAAAATTTAACTAGAGGCCCGATGCATGAAGATTCGTGCAAGAATGGGCCTTCCTTCCCCTGGCTGCCGGCACCGCCTTAGCTCTGGTCTGAGCCGCCTTTCTGCCTTTGCTCGGGCCCTGAACTGCCTTTCCACTTTCCCATGCTGCCCAGAGGCCCAGAGCGGCTGGGACGGTGCAGAATGCCTGTGTTGTTGCCATGGTGATGATGCAAGCATCCCCCCACCCCCGCTGCTTTGGCGCCTGTGTATGCAAATTAACCCGCCATCTTTGTTGGGTTAATTTGCATACTCACCCCTGGTTGGCTGGTGGGTGTCACAAAGATACTGTCAATTTGCATCTTTCTCTTTTATTAGTGTAAATATTTAAATAATACTAAAAAATATTCAGTTTTGAACACTTGAAAATATGCAGAACAAAATACAGAATATAATTTTAAGTAAAACTGACGAATCATAGTATCTTAGCCATTCCAATGTGCTTGCTCAGAGATACTAATACAGAATACAACCATAATCTTACAGTATGAAAATGATTAAGGTGTTTTGAAATACACAACATTACTTTGTCCTGGGGCTACTTCCATCTTATCCCAAGTGTTAAAGATCTCAGAGAGAGAAAGTAGCATTTAATCAGGAGGAAAGACAAACCAGACACTTAGCAATACAGAGCAAAGGTGCAAACCTGACTGAGTGCAAGGGACACACTCATTTGCTCATCAGGACCTAGGGTTCTTCCCTCCTAGATGTAGGAATAAAACCTAATGGCAGCTCCCAGTCATCGAGAAAAGGGTAGGTGAACTTCCACTAGCAAAATATGGGACAATTTGAGCAAAATAATAGGTTATAGCCCATTGACAGATAGGAGAAAAGAGAGTTCATTCTCATAGCAGAATGATAATAAATGTAGACGAACACATGGATCAGAAAATCACCAGTAGCAAACATCAGAGTAATAATCCATTTATCGGGTAAGACTCAAGGATGTGAAAACCAGGATCGATGAAGAAAGAGGATACATCCTGTATCATAAAAGCCTAATATGCAAATCAACCAAACGGCAGAACGACCGGTCGCTATGATGCGCACTGACCACCAGAGGGCAGATGCTCAATGCAGAAGCTGCCCTCTACTGGTCAGTGTGCTCCCACAGGGGGAGCGCTGCTCAGCCAAAAGCCAGGCTCACAGCTGACGAGTGCAGTGGTGGTAGCGGGAGCCTCTCCCACCTCCACTGCAGGCAGGTGGTAAGGAGCGAGGGGTCCTGGACTATGAGAGCCCCAAACTGTGAAAGGGATGTCTGACTGCCGGCTTAGGCCCGATCCCTGGGGGAATCGGGTCTAAGCTGGCAGGTGGAAATCGCCCAAAGGGTCCCGGACTGCGAGAGGGCGTAGGCCGGGCTGAGGGACCGCCCCACAGTGCACGAGTCCCATGCACTGGGCCTATAGTATTTATATAAATAAACATATTATAAAAATAAAAGTATTTTTCACAAATTACTGTTAATAACAAAAGGAAAAGTAGTAATCTTACAGTGGAGAAACCTGGCAGAAACTCCCTAATAAAAAATGGGACAAACCAGGATTTTCTGGTATGCCTGCCCAAAAAATAACCCAAATTTAATCATGAGGAAACATCAGTAATAGTCAAATTGAGGGACATTTGGTGAAAATAAATGGCTTGTACACTTCAAATATATCAATGTCACGTCATGAAAGACCAAAAAAACCCCACACACAGCTAGCCCTGGCTGGTGTGGCCAAGAGGATAGAGCATTGGCCTGACGACTCAAGGGTCCTGGGTTTGATTCCCCTCATGGGCACAAGCTGGGTTGCGGGCTCCATCCTCAGGGTGGAGTGTGCAAGAGGCAGCTGATCAATGATTCTCTCATCATTGATGTTTCTCTCTCTCTCTCTCCCCCTCCCTTCCTCTCTGAAATAAATGCATATATATTAAAAAAAAACAACAACACACACCACAGCTACAGAAATGCAACACAATCCTAGATTGGCTCCTATACCAGAAACAAACAAACAAACAAACAAACAAAAAAGCCTGCTAAAAAGGATGTTACTGGGACACTCTCTCTAAAAATCAATGGAAAAAATATCCTCAGTGAAGATTAACAGAAAAACCCACAAGAACAAAACAAAACAAAAACTAGGAGCCAACAGCACATAGATCTGTAAAGAAACCATGGAGGGCATCATTGAAAGAAATACCTGGATGAGGACTCAGGGGCTCAGGCTGCAAGGCCAGGGCAGGACAAATCCCGCCTGGCCTCTCTTCCTCTCTCACAGCTCCGCCACCTCCTTCCACCCCCGACTTTCCCCCCACCTTTTCCTGATGGTTCCTTCCCTTCCTCACTTCTTTCTGAGATCCGCTCAAATTAAATCTACCTGTAACTCACATAAGTTCTAGGTGCCCTATTACTAATTTTTTAATGAAGTGAAACTTTTACATTACTTTCCTAAATTTATTTTTGTTTACATGTGACCCTACATGTTCGATTTAAAATTTATTAACATTTTCATAAGATACAAGTAAATGAAAAGATCTGTATTCTTCTCAGAAAGCATATGCTTTGATAGAATTAAAGCATGTATTACCTAAGGCCCAAATTTAATCTGTGGCACTTCTAAGACTATACTCTATATTTCTAGCCTCTTCACCTGATGAGCTAATAAATCTTTATACTCATAATTTTCCTTCATAGCTTTACATACATCAAAAATTTGTGTTAATGGGATATCACATAACACCTATGAAAATGGCTATTATAAAAAAGACAAGCCACAAGTGTTGGCAAGGATATGGAGAAAAGGAAACGCCCATGCACTGTTGGTGGGATTTTAAACTGGTACAGCCACTATGGAAAACAGTATGGAGGTTCCTCAAAAAATTAAGGATAAAGCTACAATATGACCCAGCAATTCCTCTTCTGGATAATTTGACAAAAATATGAAAACACTAATTCATAAAGATATCCTTGTGTTCATCGCACCATTATTCACAATAACCAAGATATGGAAACAACCTAGTGTCCTTCAATGAATGATTTGATGAAAGAAGATGTGGTATGTATATACAACGAAATACCACTCAGCCATAAAAAAGAGTGAAATATGGCCATGTGTGACAACATGGATGGATCTTGACAGTATTATGCTAAGTGAAATAAGTCAGACAAAAAACTGTATGTTTTCACTCATATATGGGATAAACCCCAAAAAGTAACAAATAAACTAACAAAATAATCAAAAAGAAACTCATAGACAAACAACAGTATGGTGGTTATCACAGGGGAAAGAGGGTGGGAGGAGCAAATTGGGTAAAGGGGATCAAATATATAGTAATGGAAGGAGACCAGACTTTGGTGGTAACATGCAATAGAGTACACAGATATCGAATTATAATGTTGCATACCTAAAAGGTATATAATGTCAATAATATTACCTCAATAAATATAATTTTTTTAAAATTGTGTTTTACTTACATCCAGCTTAGCATATTCATCTTGACAGGTATAATGCTTCAAATACCACTCTATGGTAAACTTCATAGGCTCGTGACATTTGAATGATTTAACTGTTGAAAAAAAAGAAAGTCTCATTTTTCAATAATAATATACATACTCCAATGTAAACTTCAGGTTTTAAGAATATAATTTAAAATGGGCTACTTCAATGAAACAATGAGTAAAACATTACTTAATTTCTCCAAAAGCCACTGCAAAATGAAACAGTAAATTCATTAAATTAAATTATCACGGTTAGTCAAAAGTTGCTATATTACTGTTCATTTCATCTATATGTTAAGTCCGGTGTTAAAATCAACCGAGTGGCCAGACATGTTGACATTGCTTACTTCACTTTAGGTGTTCTCTTCACTGAGTCATTCAAAAAATACTGAGCAAGCACCCCTTGTGTGCCAAGAAGGGACATAATGGGAAATCTAGAACAGTTCCTCTCCTTTACATAGAGGATTGAGGAAACATCAGATTAACAATTAAACAGGCCCCAGGAGAGTATGAAGAATGGGGTGCTGGCAGGCTTGCTGGAGGAGAAGGCCTGTAATGTGAAGGGGTAGCCAGAGTTAGCCAGGTGAGGAGGAGGATGAGAGAGTACATGCAAATGCTCAGGAAAAGTGAGTGAATGGCATAAGCAGGCCCATCTAAAAACAGTGTGCTATGCTTAGAGTGCAGATTGGGGAAACTGGAGAAAATTCATAAGGGCTCTTATGTTCTGCTAGGGAGTTTTCCTTTATTTTTAAGCTAGTGGCCTGGTGTACAAATTCATGCACATTGAAAGAAAATTAATTAAAAGAAATATTTTAATATCGCTATTCGCCCTTTCTCTATAATAGAAGTGTCAGAGGTGAAAATTAATAAAATGTACATGAAAATAATATATAAATTGATTATGAAATAAATAACAACATGCTATAACAGACATGACATAAATACAACAAAAGCATGATATAAAAACAACAAAAAGATGATATAAAAACAACAAAAATATAAAAACATTGATACAATGACTGCTAAATTGATTAAACTTATTCCAATATCTCCCTGTATACCACATTAAGAGTAAAAACAATTTCAAAGTGCTTGACTAATTTCCCTTGTGATGAAGTATTTACAACTTTAATGTCACGCGCTCTTCAAACTTGAGAGAAAGCAACATATAACTGACCATGTCCAAAAAAAGGGTTCAAGTAGGAATATTCCTAACTCTGTCTAGAGTTTGTCCTTGTGATTTACTAACCCTTTGAGTGCCAACCAATATCCTAGGAACTATGCTAAAATTGCCAAGGCATTTTTGCTGATTTTACAGCAGTTTAGGAAAAAAATTATGAATCGCAAGTAAATGAAGTTACATATTCAAAAACTCAAGGAAACCTTTACTACACTGACATATTTAGCAATATCATCATCACTAATAAAAGCAGACTTAGAACTGGACGCCATTTCGAAGCTTTGATAGCGCTCCCAGCACTTTTGGGGAAAGACAGGAGGAGCGTGATTGCGCTCCCCGGCACCCTAGGGGTTAATAGTCATTGCAAATGCTGGCATCACGGGAAACTGTCTTCGAATTAATTTAAATGGGAGGCCAGTGTCATATGGGCAGAAATCAATTCTTGGAATCAGAACAACCTCTCCTTCTGCAGATCCTGTGAATATTTCAGCCTCAATTATGTCACAATCCTGTGATCATAAATCTGGTACCATTACGAAGATCCCATTTACTATTAAGATTTCTCAGTAGCATGATGATTGCACCTTATTTCAACTTTAATTTATGACACAGCATTCCCAAAGGAGTAATACTATTAAGAAATTTGATGGGAAAATTTCCTTTTTAGCATTTGTTGAATCGATGGAATCACCACTCAAATAGGTGTGAAAATCTCCACTGAGTATACCCAAAATTTCTTCAGTTAATTTATGAACATGCTCATTTTTAGGACAAAGAATCGCACGTTTAGATATATCCTATATAATAAAAGGCTAATATGCAAATCGACCGAATGGCACAACGACCGGTCGCTATGACGTGCACTGACCACCAGGGGGCAGACGCTCAACGCAGAAGCTGCCCCGTGGTGTTCAGTGCACCAGAAGCTGGGCTCATGGCTGGCAAGCGCAGTGGCGGTGGCAGGAGCCTCTTTCGCCTCCACGGCAGCGCTAAGGATGTCTGGGGGAGCAGGCCTAAGTCATCAGTCGGACATCCCCCAAGGGCTTCCAGACTGCAAGAGGGCGCAGGCCGGGCTTAGGAACCCCCTTCGAGTACACGAATTTCATGCACCAGGCCTCTAGTTTTAATATTACCTACAGATATACTATTTCCAAAGGTAGCTTTCTTTCAGCTTCAGAGACACGTTATGCCAATAGTTGTTCTTCCGATACATTCTGTTGATGACGCAGGCTTCTTTCGGCTTCAGAGATACATTGTGGCAATAGTTGGTCTTCAGCCATATACTATTGACGATTTCGGCTTCAGAATGTCAACAAAAACGTGACATCATCCCCGGTACCCACAGCCACTGGGTCACATTTTGTGCCATGGGGTCTCGGCAGCGTTGGCTGTGATTTGGTGGAGTGTTGCTCTGGGGTGGTGACAGGGCCTGTGTCCCACTTGGGAGACGCTGAGTATTGCTTTGTGGGTGCCAGGTCCGTAGTTCCATTTGTTGTTAAATGACTTGTCACTAGGGAGAGGAAGCTGGGTGTTGCCACGTGATGTCATTATTTGGTGCCCACACCACCGTTTCTGGACTGTGCTGTGGACTGCATTTTGCACCATGGGGTCTGGGCAGTATCGGCTGCGATTTGGTGGGCTGTCGCTCTGGGGTGGTGGCGGGGCCTGTGTTCAACTTGGGGGAAGCCGAGTGTTGCTTTGTGGGCACTAGGTCCACGGTGTCGTTTCTCTGTGCACGTCACGGCAGCTCCTGTGTTGAGCGTCTGCCCCCTGGTAGTCAGTGCATGTCATAGCAACCGGTCAGACAGTTGGACACTTAGCATATTATCCTTTTATATATATAGGCATTTCCAGAAGGAAGATAACAATATTACACAGATGGAAGAGAATTAAGTCTAGAATAAGACAAAGCTCTTTTTTGTCACAACATGGCAGCATATCACCAGAGAGAGGGCAAAGAAGCCACAGTGTCTTTTATGACCTAGCATCATAAGTGACATGAAATTACTTCTGCCATATTCTACTGGTCAGATCAACATTGATATAATGCAGGGATTACACAGGTCATGAATACCAGGAGGCAGGTACCATTGTGAGCCTCGTGAAGGCAACCAAGGGAAACCCAAACTGATACAGAAACTGACTTCCAGAGGCTCAGACTGGTAGAATTTCTGGGGCAGAGCACCCAAGAGTTGGGAGCTACTCAGAGAAGGAGAAAAGAACTCTGCACAAATATCCCCTTGAGGCTCTAGCCGCATAGTAGTTGCCCATGCACAGGGAGAAGTCCCACAATTCTGAGTTTACATAGGGCTTGCACTATTTGAGTTTCCATGAGCCAGAGTTCATAGGCCTCATTCAATACGCTAAGCACCAGGGAGAGACATAGAAGGGTCACACCTGAGAAGTGGTGCTAAGTCAGCCCTGGAGTAAAGGCTACTCCAGACCCATCCTGAAAGAATTAAAAATAAAATTGGAAAGGATAGAACTGACCCAAAAGAAACTTAACTCTCTGCCAGAACGAAGTTGTTCAAGAAATACATCCCAGCATTCAAGAATGCAAAATTCACAACATCCAGCATCCAAACAAAACCACTAGATATAAAAAGCAGAACAATTCGACTCATATCCATGGTATGAATCAGTCCATATGACAAAGATGATGTAAATGACAAAAATGACAGAATTAGCAGATAAAAATGTAAAAACAGCTACTATAAATATGTTCCACATGCTCAAATATATAAAGAAAAACATGAAAATACTGATGAGAGAAATAAGGTATTTTTAAAAAGAACCAAACTTCTAGAGATTGAAAAATACAATATCCAAAATAAAAAGTTCATTGTATGAGATTAACGGCAGATTAGGTACTGCAGAAGAAAAAGATCACTGAAATTGAAGACAAAACAAAAGAAATATCCAAAATGAAGCATAGAAAGAAAAAAATGTAGCAGGGCCTCAGTGACCTGTGGGACAGTATCAAAGTCTAACATTTGTAAATGGGACCAGGAGGGGAGGGCAGAGAAGGGGATAGAGCTTCTAAGTCCACGATCGAAGGTCCGTGTTTCAGTGTGGATACCCAGCTGTTCCAGCATCCTTTGTTGAAAAGACTATCCTTTCTCTAATGAATTATCTTTACACCTTTGTTGAAAATCCATGGACTTTATGCATGTGGGTTTATTTTTGGGCCTCTAGTCTGATTCCTTGTTCTATCCTTATGCCACTACCACACTGTTATGATCACTGTAGCTTTATGTAAGTTTTGAAATCAAATAGTAAAATCCCTTCAACTTTGCTCTTTTTCAAAATTGTTTTAGCTACTCTAGGCCCTTTGTATTTACATGTAAATTTTAGAAACAGTTAGTCGATTTCTACATAAAAGTCAACTTTGATTCTGATTAGAATTAATTGAATTTATAGATCAATCTGGGAAGAACTGACAGTATGTTAGGTATAGATTTTTCATAAATGTCTTTTATCAGATTGAGGAAGTTTTTCTAGTTTTCTGAGAGTTTTTATCATGAATGGGTATTGATTTTTTTCTAATGCTCTTCTGAATATATTGAGATAATTATATGGTATATTTCAGTGATTCCCAAAGTGGGCGCTACCGCCCCCCGGTGGGCGCTGCAGAGATCCAAGGGGGCGGTGATGGCCACAGGTGCATTTGGGGGCGATGAGTAATTGCTATTAAAATTAAAAAAAAATTAATTTCCAGGGGCTGAGTAATATTTTTTCTGGAAAGGGGGCAGTAGGCCAAATAAGTTTGGGAACCACTGGTGTATTTCTTTCATTCTGTTATTTTGGTGAATAACATTGAGAGATTTTCAACAGTGACTTCATGACTACATCTTGAATAAAGCAGCACAAGTGGTCACCTAAGGGAAATCAGACATCTGATCCACCAAACTGCATGGCCACATATTAAAGGTACCAATTCTTAGTTTGCAGGCACTAAAATCTGGCTCTGTGAGAACACAGACTCAGTCTCATCTCATGCCTTCACCACACCACCAATGTAGATGTATGAACTAGAACAGCGGTCGCCAATCAGTGGTCCACAGACCACTGGTGGTCTGTGAGGTCTGAAAGGTTGGCAACCGCTGAACTAGAATGTTCAGTAACTCACTTAAAACGAATAGTAACTGAAAATAGATGGGTAATAACCAACTAATTATCTCCCTTCAGCATGCCTTCCTGGATGCCCAACGGTGATGAGAAAGCGTCCTGATGAGCATGGCATCAGAACAGGAGGCTCAGGTGGATGCTACATCCGCACCTGCCAGCCACATGTCACAGCTGTAGTCAGAGTTCACCAAGACCTCTCTCCATTGATACCATTGGACACTGTCAGGTGTTTTGCCTGACTAAACCCTCATTTTCTTATGCTTTTGCTCCTAACTTCTTCTGCTGCTCATTCCTTCTTTAGATGTCTTGACTGCTGTCTGTCTACCCTTAGGCTAATCTCTGACATTACATATTGTCTTGTTTATAAATAAAATTCTGTGTTTCATTGATCCATGTAACTTTTTCCCCCACGTAATTTCTTATTTGTCTAGACATTGAGACATGAATTCATTAAAGCAATCAGATGCCAAAATTTTTTCCTCACCCACCTTGCACTTCAATTTCCTCTTACAAGCTCTTATCACCACTGATGATCTGATATCACCAGGCTGCTTTGAACCACCTCTGCTTTATAGCTGATGGCTGGCCCGGTTCCCTCAGGAAAGACCCACGTATGGCCCTCACCCAACAAATGATCAGAGCATGGGGTAACAGAGAAAAGGGTACTGGCTTTGGATCCTCAGAAAGCCAATCTGTGTTACCCAACAAAAAAATACTCCTTATCTCAAAACTTTAGCCCTGGCAAAAAACTTACCCAGTCAAGTTACTGGAAACACCAACAGGAGTTGGACCACAGTAAATATGATCCAATGTAAACCCATTGAAGATACTGAAAACCTCAAGAACTATGACTTGGTCATCCTTGCACAGCAGTATTTACCTGGACAACATAGTCTCTAACAGATATTTTCACTTTCATAAGCCTTAAAATATTAGTTAAAATGTTAGTGTCTTGTAATTTTTATTTATACTATGATCATATGTATACTTAGAAAACTGAGGGACATAAAAGTTTTATCACAATCATGACATTTCATATATTCATAAAAGAAATTTATCTAGTTTTAAAAGCTAAGAGCTAGAGTCAAATTTTACAGAAGTCAAATACCTTTTGCTAAAGCCTAATTTATTAGACTTTAATTATAGTTTTTAAAGAATGATCATATTACATTTTCTGAAACAGAAAAAGCCATTCTTGAAAATAAGCAAGACTTGACAGAAACAAAAGAAACCCTTAATATGTTAGAACCACTGAAAATCATTTTCCTGTTTTATAAAATATAATACCATGTTACATTAGCTTACATTCAATTAATGTATTAGTTTATAACATGTTACTCGTTTATGATATGTTGTTATGGTAGTATTACATTAGTTTATAAGACTTACCAGAAAACTTGATGTCAGTGGAATTAAACATAATTTTCCTAAATATCAAAGGTCCTGATTTCTAAAATGAAAAATATAGAAAAACCATTTAAATTATACTCTACTATTTAAGTGTATAGCTTTACCCTGTAAAACATACAGCTCTAATCCTTGCTGTCCTCCCTCTGACCAGAGTGATTATCTTTTAAAACCATAACTCTAATCACATCACTCATTTGCTTAAACCCTTTCCTATGTATCTCCTCCCTGTAGTTGATATGAGGCTCCAGACTGTCCCTGCCACCAGCGTCCCAGCGAGGGGCCAGCAATACCTAGGAGGTGAGGGCTGCTGCACTGCACCATATGCTGCCCTGAACAGGACCTGCCTGCACACCTGCAGTTGGTACTCTGTGAATGTGCTTCTGATAAAACAACCAGCCCTCTCTCTACATTGTGATGGTTCACCACTGTGCGCATACAGCAGACCAGTTCTCACTGCAGCTCACAGGACCCTCCATCCTCAAGGCCACCTACTTCTCTAGAACCTTTTTTTTCAGCTCTGCCACAGCATGGTACTCCTTCTTGCCCTCATGATACTCCTGCCACCCGAAAACTTACTTAGAAGCCTTTATCCCTGTCACTTTGTCTTCACCTCATCGATTCCTTCTTACCCTTTAAAGCCAAGTTCAAAAGTCCCTTCCTCGGGAAGTTTTCCACCATATCCCAAACCAGGCCAGACCCTCCCTTATGGGGTCTCTGGAACCCATTCTTCTTCACAACCTTTCCCACAATTAAAACAAAATAATGTATTAATTAGTTATTATATGTTTACCATGAACGAAGAATAAAAATGCTGTGTGAAGGGACTGTGTTAAAGAACAAGTAGTTAGGAATGAAAGGAAAGCAGATAGGGCAGGCAGCTCAATCTGAAAACCCTTCTCCCCTCCCCAACATAGTGTCAACAAAAATAACTATAAATAATAGAACTCCCAGGCCGGATCAACAATAAAACCCACAGCCCAGATCCCTCCTCTGAGTGCTAGATCCACATACCCAACTGTCTACTGGGATGTCCCATGCACATTCCACACCAACATTCCCTAAATCAGACACATTCCTCTCTGCTCCGCACCAATTCTTCCTGCACTGTCCACCTTGGTTGTAGGTGATGCCATCCAGTCACCCAAGCCATGGCTCCTTCCAGTCACCTCCCCTCCCCTCCATCACCTACCCCCCAAACACATGCCTACTTTATCTCATAAACACTCCCCAAACTTAGCTCTTGCTCTCCATTCCTCCTACTACTGCTCTAATTCAGGCCTTCAACGTTTTCTGCCCACATTTCTGCAATAACTTAATGGTACCTCTGCCTCCAGATCTGAGCCTAGAATTCATCCTTAGATACCAGCCACAGTGATTAGCATTTATGTCTAAAATCCTTCAATGGCTCTCTTATTCACACCCAAAAGTTGCTACTAGTGGCCTGGGGGCATAATCCAACTTCTAAATGAGGTTTGTTTAGCCCACAAATTTTTAAACCAAATGACATAATAAAATTATGGATTCTGACTTTTAAAAAAGCAGACCTGGCAATTCTGTGCCTAGACTATCCACCAGCAGAGCCGAATGGCAACTACCCTCTTCACAAAGGGCACGTAACCGGTAGTCCACTGCACCCTCCACCACCCCCTCCAGTCCGGAACCCAGCTCACTTCACTCACTGATATGACTTGCCCCAGACCCCACAGGTCCTGAGTTTAGACCTGGCATCAGGCCCAAGGCCAAGCTCAGACACAGAAGGCTTATGGTGGCCTGAGTCCCCTGTAACACTCCTGACAGAACCACTCAGCAGAAACACTATAGATTTCCTTCTCTGCTGCTGCTCTACTCCCTCCTTCTTCACCAAGGTAACAACCACTCATCTTTTAAGACCCAGCCAACCACGGACTCCAGAAAGTGGGGTTGGGGGCCTCCTCAGAGCCCCAGTAATATCCCAAGAATGCTGCCACGTAGGTAATTGCTGTCCTTACTGCCTACGCTTCTTGAGAGAAGGGGCTGTTGTCTGAAATTCACCTTTGCAACGGCAATGGCCAGTGCAGTGCGTGGCACACAGTAGGTGCTCAAACTATTTGCTGACCTTTACAATCAAAGCAACCGTCTCTTGATGGGTTTGTAGTACAAATGAAAGAAAGCCCACTCTCCTGATCTGAAGGACAAATCTTGACAACTTGAAATGGGGGGGAAAAATCAGCCCATTCTTTGCAAAGAAGGGCTTTCTGGACTTCTCCTGGCCTGTGTCACGAGGACAACAAACTATATGGGACCCAGGGAAAAAGCCTTTGGAGTCTCCACATCCAAAGTACACGTGGCAAAGATCTTTAGAGATATGGTCAGGTCATGTAACAACCTGTATGCAGCTGATTCACTTCCAATATCGTTTACTTGCAGCGGTTCTCGACCTGTGGGTCGCAACCCCTTTGGGGGTCGAACGACCCTTTCACAGGGGTCGCCGAAGACGATTGGAAAAAATATATAATTACATATTGTTTTTGTGATTAATCACTATGCTTTAATTATGTTCAATTTGTAACAATGAAAATACATCCTGCATATCAGGTATTTACATTATGATTCAAAACAGTAGCAAAATTACAGTTATGAAGTAGCAACGAAAATAATTTTATGGTTGGGGGTCACCACAACATGAGGAACTGTATTAAAGGGTCGCGGCCTTAGGAAGGTTGAGAACCACTGGTTTACTTAGTTTGTGACGCTGCCCTTTCGCTACAGAAGCCCCGAGGGTGGCCCTCTGAGTTTTGCTTCTTACTGATCCGAGAAAGTCAATACAAGAGACGTGCCGCACATACGGGGGCACCAACCACAAGGGTCCAGGAAGAAATGGTTGCCCTGGGTCGTAAAGGTCCAGAAAAATAGCGCCTTCCGTGCCTCGGTGCAGCTTTTATGTTACAGGCAGCACAGCCTCTGGTACTGCCTTCTTTTTCTGGTTGAGAACATCAAAACAGCAGCTTTGCCTTTAGAACTTGGGCCCCATCCCATGGGTGTGAAAGTACTCAAGTCCATCTGCACTGGACGAGTCATCTCACCTGGAGGTAACGCCTCTCCTCCCTTCCCGGGCCCTATTTCCCAAAATGCTACCCGGCACCTCCCCGTGCCCATCCCGCCACATCACGTCCTCGGTCTGCGGGTCGCAAGCGCTCAGACGGCCGGACTGTGGGCCCGCAGACTTAGCAGCACAAAGACTCCATCTCCCCACCTAAGGCTGCCCGAGTCGGGGGCTGTGAAGAGAAAGTTGGCGGCCCCTTGCGCGGCCCCCT